GGAATGAAGAGGCGCCTCAATTCTCCGGCATTCCGCCATCGAAGAGGCAACCTCTTAAAAGTTCCATGGCCAGGGTCCCATCGCCGGGTCCCTGGGGGAGGGTGACGAGCCTGTGCACCCCCTCCTTCGGCTGGAGCGCAGCTTCACCCCCGGGAGGTCCGGGAGGTGAGTATGCTAGCGTGCTGCCATCAACCGGAAGTGCTATATTTATTATTTCTACCACATAGGGTTGCCATTCCCCAGTCGAGGTCAGGGATCCCCTGGTTTTGTCGGCTCCTGCCTGCTGCTGGCCAGCTGACTGGCAGGAGGATCCCCCCCAAAAAAACAGCGACATTACCAGAAATAAATGTGATGTGCCTACATCACCTGGAAGTGACGTAGGCACATCGGTGACATTGGAGGGAATACTCTGGGTTTTGGGCAGAACTCTATGTTTTAAGACAGATTTTACTGTAGAGTTTTGCCCAAAACTCAGAGCGTTGCCCCCCCCTCCAATGTCACTGACGTGCCAACATCACTTCTGGGTGATGTAGGCACATCGTGCAACAATGCTTCCAGTATGTGGTTAAATACTGCATGGCCATGTTGCCTTGCTGGGATTCCACTGAAGCGATTTTGCTGTGCCTGTATTATTCTGGAAATCGGGGTGAGATTGATTTTTCCTTTGTTTTTGACTTGATATATGCATGATGCAGTTGATCTTGTCTTTCTGTGTATATTTATGATTGCGTCACAGTTCTGTTTTACCAGCCACTGTGGGAGATCATTGAAACGTCTTGATGGTCTTCCCTTGGTCCCTACCATTTGTCATTAGGAGTGTATGAGCCCATTTGGGAGAAAGAAGAATGTTTAAACAGTATGGTTCCACAAGAATCTGGCTCTGAAGAAGAAACATAGTTGAAACTCTCGCGGCCGACAAGAGAAGTCAGACAGCCTGTTACAGCCTCCTTGCAGACCTGGAAGTTGGCAACTGAGAAAAAATAAGAAGACCACAGTGTATCTATGGACTGTGTATAGCCCAAGGGTCATTTCCTGTAGGAGCACACAGGAGCGGAGCTCCAGCAGTAAAGAGCTCAGGGGGCAGGCACATGCAACAAGCCCCACCCCCTGCTCCCAGCAGCCCTCAGTCAGAGCAAGAAGCAGTCAGGTAAGTTGCAGAGCTCCCCCCCGGCCCCCCGGTCCAAAACAGTCCAGTGGCACCTTTAAGACCAGGTTTTATTCAGGTACAGGCTCTCCCTCCTCTGCGAGGACAGATCTGCACGTTCCCCTCCCCCAATAGCTAGAAATCCAAAACAGTTCAGTGGAGCTTGAGTGGTGGGTGTTGCCTTCTGACACACTTCCGGTGATGTCAGGGGATGTGGCATATGCAAATAAGTTATTCTAATGAGTTATGCTAATGAGCTCCTGCACCTCTTTTTCTCTGAAATGACCCCTGGTATAGCCTATTCATTGGTCTGACTGGGAAGGGTTTTTGTGTATTTTTCTAAACCTTAGTGTTAAATGCCATAAGCTAACTGGAACATTTATTTCATGTATTGTTTTTGATTTATGCATTGTGTTAAACATACTCTTTTATAAAAACCTTGAGTGGTAGCAGACCTTGAACATAGTTATTTCATGGGATATTTTGTGGTTGTTTCACTGAGTGCAGTATCTCCGTGGTCCCGCTGTATTAATGAAATTAAAAGACGCCTGCTCCTTGGGAGGAAAGCGATGGCAAACCTAGACAGCATAATAAAAAGTAGAGATATCACCCTGCCAACAAAAGTCCGCACGGTCAAAGCAATGGTATTCCCAGTGGTACTGTAGGGCTGCGAGAGTTGGACTATAAGGAAGGCCGAGCGCCGAAGAATAGATTCTTTTGAATTATGGTGCTGGAGAAGACTCTTGAGAGTCCTCTGGACTGCAAGGAGATCAAATCAGTCAATCCTAAAAGAAATCAACCCTGACTGTTCCCTGGAAGGCCAGATACTGAAGCTGAAGCTCAAATACTTTGGCCACCCAATGAGAAGGGAGGACTCACTGGAGAAGACCCTGATGTTGGGAAAGATTGAAGGTCAAAGAAGAAGGGGATGGCAAAGGATGAGGTGGTTAGACAGTGTCATTGATGCAATGAACATGAAATTAAGCAAGCTCCGGAACATGACGGAAGACAGGAGGGCCTGGCGTGATGTGGTCCATGGGGTCGTGAAGAGTCAGACTCGACTGTGCGACTGAACAACAACAAAAGCAGCCTGAGTAGTCCAAACTCATTAGAGTTTGGAAGCTAAGCAGGGTCAGTACTTGGATGGGAGACCACCAAGGAAAGCCCTGGGGTTGCTACACAGAGGAAGGCAATGGCAAACCACACAAGCGGCTATACTTGTACACTAAGGGTTCCCCATTTATATTTGTCTTTATGACCAGGGGAGCATTAAATGCTCTGAAAAGAGGTAAGGTACCTGCGCTCCATCCAGCCTGGCAGCCACACACACACTTTTACTTCAGCTGAATAAAATAACCCGTGATTATTTATTTATTTATTTATTTATCATTCGATTTATATACCGCCCTAACCCCCCCCCCCCATGGGGGTCTCTGGGCGGTTTACAGTTTGTAGTGCTAGTAACTTTGCAATTCCCTAACTATGGGCACATTCTTAGGGGTTGGGTCAGCCTACCTAGCACCCCGGTGGTGGCAGCTCTCCCTTCTGGCCTCCGGCCTCCGGCTTCCTCGGCTCTCAGCTGTCTTCCCTCGGTCAGCAGGACGTCTCTCTCGTGGCGCTTCTCCGGCGAGGCAGCTTTCTCGGCGTGTTGATTCGTCTCTCCCGGCCTCGGCTCTGTCCAGTAGGCTCCGCCGCGCCGGGAGATGATGTCTTCCGCGCCTTCTGCTGCTAGCGACGGCTGCTTTCTGCTGTATCTCCGCAGGCCACCAGGGATCACTCTACTGGCTTTGTCGTTGCGCAAAGCCACCTCGTCTCTGCTGCCAGGATTCCGCCGTTGCCGCCATCATCGCTGTTCCTTCGCCACCGCTGCACACCACACTCCTCAGGACGAGGGGGTGCCCCTACCCTACTAAGGGTAGGTCCCCATTTATCTACTTGCCCTTTAACGGGCTTTTGAACCGCTGGGTGGGCGGGGGTGATTACCCAGGGGTGAAAGAAAAACACAGCACAAAGAAGGCATGGCATTTTATGTCACATCTTCTAGGGCTGCAAATTCATGGCATCCAATAAGCATTGGTCTCTTTTGATCCTTGGCTCCAATCAAGCCCTGGAAAAGGATGCCATGATGGAAGAGAAGTTTTCGAAAGCAACAACTGCTGGAATTACTGGCCAAGCACATTCTACCAGTGGTGCTATTCTTCCATTCCATGCCTTGTGGAAGATTGTTGATTGCTGTTAGTTTCAGAGGGTAATTGTGTTGGTCTGCAGCAGAATACTTAGATCTGAGTCTAGTAGCACCATTGAGACCAACAAGGGTTTCATGATATAAACTTTTGAGTAGGGATGGACATGAAGCCCATTTTTACAGTTTGGTTTGTGAACTGAACCACGAACAGATATGCCAGTTTGTGAACTGAACTGGTTCATATCAATTAATGAGCCATTTAAATCCCTGCTTTCTGCTCATCGCAGCTTGGACGGTGAGCAACATGCAGGGGGTGAAATGACTGGGAAGCATTTCACTCCTTGCTTTTTGCTCCATGCTGCTTTTCGTTGGGAGCAGAAAGCAGTGGTTTAAATGGATCTGAGCCATTTAAATCAAACTGCTGAGTGGCGGGAGATGTTTTTCATGATGAGCAGAAAGCAGGGGTTTAACTGGCTCTGTCATGGCTCAGGTGGGATGTCTCCTGACGCTGCCACTACTCTGGACTTAGGATCCCTTGAGAAGGCCCAGAGCACCCTTCAGACCTCCCTTATTTGGCTGAATAATAGGTGTGAGGACCAGGCAGAGTAAACAAGAATAAAAGGTTTATTTTTACAGGAGGTCAGCCCAATATGGGAAACAAACAAGGTGCAAGAACAATAATGATAAGTGGGTGAAGGGAAAAGAAACCAAATGCCCTAACGCGACTAGACTCACAGTCCCTAGTCCACTGTCTCAATTGGGCCTGAGTCTACTCACCCTTCCTCTCAGGGTGAGGGCCTCTCTCAGCAGCAGCCTTCCTCTGGCTCTGCTCTCTTGGAAGAAAGAACAGCTCTTCTTCTGTACCAGCTCTTTTATTATAAGTCTCCTTTCTCTAAGATTGGCTAAAATTGGCTCCAAAACCTCTCAGGGGCTTCTGGGAGTTGTAGGCCTAGCCTCCTTCCACTGCTACTCATGCTCCCTGGGCCTGCTAGGCCTTACTTGCACAGCCCAGATCATGACAGGCTCCGAGCCATTTAAACTCCTGCTTTCTATTCTTCACAAACCACCATGAACTACAGCAAAATTCATGGAAGTTTGTGGTGGCTCTTCAGTTAACAAACTACGAATCAGTGAAAATTTGTAATGAACTTTATTTTGTCAGCCAGTTCGTGCTGTCTCTGTTTTTGAGAGTTAATGCTGCCTTCATCAGATATGAACAGAGTAGATCAGAGTTCTCCTTTTCACTCGTGATGGATGAAGGGAACTTTGCCTCTCAGAAGCTTATACCGTGAAACTCTCGTTGGTCTCTTTAGTGTCAAAAGATCTTTGCCAAAGACTGCTTCCTATGCTCAAAGTCCCAAAGAGCACTCTAGGATATACATATTTAATGCCAGCGCATGAAGAAAAAAACATTAAGGCAGAGAATGCTGGCTTCTTCAAAAGGTATCAAGGTGTGTTTCTCAAGGACCCTTTCAACATTCCACAGTCTGGATACAGGAAACAAAAAATGTAGCCTGGGGTGAGGAGCCACCCTGTCTGAGTCATGGCTGATGGAAACTTTCGAAACAAAAGAAGAAAGAGTTAAACCAAAACAAAGCACACCCTTTCCTAAGAAAAAGTTCTACACTGGGATGTGACCTAAGCATGAATGTACACATGGAGCAAAAAGATGAGTTTGGAAGTTGGCGTGGATGCCGGGAGTGATGAAAGCTCAAGGGAATGTAAAAGCAGATTTTTTTCCCACTGTGCCAACGCCTCTGTCCCAGGTATAAGAGGAGAATTACAGACCGGGAGCTGCTAACCCTCCCCAGCCATTCAGAACTCTCTCTTGGGTGGCTCTCCATTTCCTGGCAAGATGACCACCACCATCAGGCAATACACTTCCTCCTCCTCCATGAAGGGGCCCATGAGTTTTGGCGGGGGCTCCTCTCGGCTGTCCTCTGTGCATCTTGGAGGCGGGTACCGAGCCCCGAGCATCCATGGTGGAGCTGGTGGCTTGTCCATTTCTTCTTCCCGCTACGTCTCTGGGTTAGGCAGCTCGCTTGGTGGCGGCTATGGAGGCAGCTATTGCAGCAGCAACAGCTTCGGTGGTGGTCTGGGGGGAGGCTTTGGTGGTGGCTTTGGTGGCAGCTTTGGTGGTGGCTTTGTTGTTGGTGGCGGGGATGGCCTCCTGGCTGGGGGCGAGAAGGAGACCATGCAGAACCTGAACGACCGCCTGGCTTCCTACCTGGACAAGGTGCGTGCCCTGGAAGAAGCCAACACTGAGTTGGAGGTGAAGATCAGAGAATGGCACAAGAAACAGGGACCTGGTCCAGATCGTGACTACAGCCATTATTTCAGGACCATTGAAGACTTGCAGAGCAAGGTAAGGGAAGGGGCTTCAAGGAAACATTGATTGCTGTTGATGGGGACATTCTAGCAAACTGACTCTAGATGGGCATGAGATATATACTGATGACTGATTACATAGCAGAAGGTGGGAAGATAGCTTTGAAGAGGTATATTAAAAGGGTACTGTTGTGACTCTTGAGTCTTCAATATCAGCGTTATTAAATGAATGGTTTCAGAAGGACTTCACGGAATAGGTCTAAGCAAATCTGCTCAGGCACTGTAACACTTTCAGTGATTTCTACTTTGATTCTACATATATGCAGAGTTGTTATGGAGCACAAGATGATTTGTACCACAACAACTATAGATTTTGCACATTGCAGCATATGGACAGCCGGTGAGGTGTAACGGTTAGTGTCAGACTAGGATTGGAAAGACCCAGGTTCAAATCCCCATGGCCACAGAAACTTGCTGGGTGACCCTGAGCCAGCCACATGCCCTCAGCCTAACCTACCTCACAGAGTTGTTGTGAGGATAAAATGGAGAAGAAGGGAACAATGTAAACTGCTTTGCATCCCAATCAGGGAGAAAAGCATGGTATAAATGAAGTACATAAATAAATAAGGAAAGATTGCGCTGCTCTTCTGTCTGAAAGCTGCAATTCTAATGTGTATGGAGAGATGTATGGAGGTTGGGGTTAAACCAGTCTCTGGAGGATACGTTTATGATTCCCTGTTATCCATGATGGCTGAATGGTACCTCCACAAAGGCAGAATGCCTCTAATCATTGGATACTTCTAGGGTTGCCAGGTCTGGGTTGGGAAATACCTGGAGATTTTGGGGGGTGGAGGCTGAGGAGGGCGGGGTTTGGGGAGGGGAAGGGTCTTAGCAGGGTAGAATGCCACAGAGTCCACCTTCCAAAGCTGCCATTTTCTGTGGGGAATTGATCTCTGTTGCCTGGAGATCAGTTTTAATACCAGAAAATCTCCAGCCGCCACCTGGAGGTTGACAACCTTAGATTCTTCTAAGCCGTCAGCAGGGGAAGGCTATTGTCAGCAGGCCTGACTTGTGGGCTTTCCCTGAGGCATCTGACTGACCACAGTTGGAAACAGGATGCTGGGTTTGATGGACCATTGGTCTGATCAAGAAAAGATGATCTTACTTTTAACTGGGAGGTGAATGGGATCTTACTCAGAGCTGTGTATCCTGTGTACTGAATACACAAATAAAGGTGTGTGTGTGTGTGTGTTTTTAAAGTTCTGTACAAAGGGAATCCATATTGTGCACCAAGAGGAGTCAAATGTCACTAATCCAAACAAAGTGTTGACATTTCTTTCAGCTGACATAATGCATTGTGCAATGTTTAGCGTCATGCAGAACGTATTTTGGTTCTGCCCATCATGAGGCTGGAGAAGGAACTGTTGAAGACTCAAGACTCATTCAGTAACCCTTGTGATACCAGGTTCTGGCTTCCCATCTTTTAAAGCATATCTTCATAGCTCCAAGGACCAAAAGATTGCTTCAAAAAATTAAAGCTGAGATTTCTGAGTCATTTCCTAGAAGACCGCATGGTGGAATCAAATGATCCTGCAACTGAGATAGTTTCTCCAGATCTCATTGTCGTGATCCTTGCGATTAAACTCAGATAGAAAATGCTGGGCTGCAATCACACACACTAAATAATCTACTTTCGATCCACTTCCAATGCACTTTCCAAAAAGCTTTTACTGTGAACTGGCAAAACCCAGTTGGAAAGTGCATCGAAAGTGGATTATTTAGTGTGTGTGATCGCAGCCCTAGATGACCTCCAGCAAGATGTAGGCTAATTTCAGACATGTTGGATAATGCACTTTCAATTGTCTTTTGCTGCTGGATTTTCCTGTGCAAAACAGGAAAATCTACTTGCAAACAATGGCTAAAGTGCATTGAAAGTGCATTATCCATTGTGTATGAAATCAATCTGCTTTTCCAGATCCAGTTGGAGTGCCTTCCCAGATTCTTTAATGCTGTTAAGAGTGAAGGCTCCTGATGTCTGGAATGAAAGGGGATTTTCAAGTGACACAACCCTTAAAAGGATAACAGCTTCAGGCCCATGAACAGCCAACAGCAAAAAGCCAGAATACATTGCTTCAAGACTGCAGTGATTTCATCCCAGTTAGTTGGAGAAAAATGCCTTTAAAAAGTATACAATGGTAGTGAGTGACAGATGAGCTGACAGACACATGAACTCTCTAATGTGTAGCGGATATTACTTATCTCCCAAGTATGTACTCTTTGTGCCAAACAGATGAGCTCACCAAGGGGCTCACAGCTCCTCAGGGCAGGGCAGGGCAGGGCAGGGCAGGACTTGGCTCTGTCTGAGGCCGTTTCCCTTTCACAAGATAAATGACTGTTGATTAATAACAATTAAACAATGATCTTGTAGTAGAGATCAAGAGTAGTCTGCTTATTTAGCAATTTAACTACTTAAGATGCTCTATTAATTCAACCCCACAACAACCCTGCCAAGGAGGCAACAGGGTTCAGATGAAAGATGTACTACCAGAGATCCCTAATTTACTCATGGATTACCTGCAGCAAATACACACCAAGTTGATTTACTACAACTTTTCTTCCTTCTGCCCATCCACGTCAAGTTACGATGGTATTTTATTTTTGCACGTGTAGCTGAAAACACTGTTAAAGTGTCACTGATATGGTTCTCTTTATGGATCCTAAATCCTGACACTAATTACGAACACCAAATGGATAACAACCACCTCAGAAAATCATTCTCTTCCTTGTTTTACAGTCCCCTCATATTTATCTCTGGACCCATTTGAACGTTCATATTTTAGCAGCATTTAGATATACCAATCAGATGGTAGTAGAGACGGGTGCAGTGAAAGTGTTAGAGAGATCGAAGCACCTCACCGTGGGGTCATTAATGATTTGTTGTAGTTGTTGTTGTTCAGTTGCTCTACCCCAAAAATCCATCATTGCCTGCTCTAGTTCTCCCTGAAATATGGAGTATCCAGTGGGGGTAAGCCTCTTTGGCCTGGCTTCTTAATGTTTGTCTTCTCTTCCCAGATTCTAGCAACCACCATTAGCAATGCCAGCGTTGTTCTGCAGATCGACAATGCCCGTCTGGCTGCGGACGACTTCAGAACCAAGTAAGCTTTGTTCTCATGCACAGTATTATTGCACCATGGAAAAATCTTTACTCTTTCCTGTGGAGCAGGGTCTCTGCAGGAGCTACTTCAGACATGTCAAAGGCTGGAGCTTGATTTCCAGGGCTGAGGGATCAAAGTTCAGGGATCAGTCCAGCAGCCAAGGCAGATCAAAAGTCACTAACTCAATTAGAACACGCATGCACCGCACGGACAAAAAGAAGATGAGATGTGGAAATACAGAGACGGGTCCAGAACACAAACAAGATGTATTTAGAAAGAGGAGTCAGGAAGTCATCAAACTGCTTCCCATCATCTGATACCTTGCCAAACATGCCCTGCCACAAATATCATCAGACCTTCCCTGGAATCTCCGCATGAGACCATTTTTCCTTTCCCCTCGATCCCTACTTGATGTCATAATCCTGATCATGCAGAATTATTAAAACCCTCCCGCCCAGGCTGTCATTGGTTTACCAGATCTGTTATCCTAAACCTTTTGAAGCTGCAATAGCCTATCCCGTTTTGGCTTCTGAAATAAAGCATACTGACAATAATTGTTCTCTGAAACTTAAAAAATGTTTAATATCACATTGATGCTCACAATGGATCTGACTCGACTTACTTTATAACAACTGCAACTTATACTCTTTTGCTGTATTTACTTTTACTGTATTTACTGTAAGGATAGGTGGGTACAGGAAGAGGCACACTGACAACAGCCCTTCACCGATTTATCATTGGGATCATATGATAAAGTGCTTGATACCGGTTCAGAGTGGGGTATGACTACCACCTTTACAGCTGATGGAGCTAACAGAGAAAGCTATGCTGCCATTTTTGTTAAATTTTAATTTATTTTAAATATTTTTAATTTTTGACTGATTACATTGTAAATGAAACAATGATGTTACCTGTGTGCAGGAAGGGTGGGATACAAATGCAGTAAATAAATAAATAAAAATAAATAGTGGTGGAAAGATTTGATTTTGAGGCTGGTGAAAAGAATTGTTTTAATCTATTTAATGTCTTGATCTGTTTTCTTAACTCCTTTTTATGGCCCTGGTTGTTTTTATTATTTAGTTGCAAGCTGTCTTGATCAGGTCTGGACTCTGGAGCAATGCTCCCTCTAAGCTATGGAGTCCTGTGGGCAAAAATTCTGCTTTGTGAGCTACTGGCATTAAAGTTGTTGTGAGCGGGTGATTTGGCTACTGCATAAATTAGTTTGCTCTGCAACCGTCCTTCCTGAGCTAAGACAAAAACGTGTGATCCGAAGGCTAAAAACCTGTGAGCTAGCTCACACTAACTCCGCTTAGAGAGAACACTGGTCTGGAGAGGTAGCATGCAAAATTTTCCAAATCAATAAACACATTTTCATCTATGTCAGCCTTGCCTGTGCTTTCAAAATGTCCAGTAGTTTTGCCAAATTTAGATGAAAATAGCCAAGATGATAAATGCGATAGCTAACAGGAGGAGACTTGGCCATGATGACGTTGGAAGAGGGCTTCTGAAATAACTCTTCATATAGCCTAAGCTGTATGGGAATGAAATTGAAATGGATATGCCACTTAATCTCCTTCCCCTTTGCACCTCCCAGATTCGAGACGGAACAAGCTCTCCGCATGAATGTTGAGGCAGACATCAATGGTCTGCGCAGAGTCTTAGATGAGCTGACCCTGTCCAGGGCAGATCTCGAAATGCAGATTGAGAATCTGAAAGAGGAACTGGCTTATCTGAAGAAGAACCATGAGGAGGTGAGTGGCAGAGCCACCAACAAATCTCCATTGATTCATGGGACTAGTAGGTGTATGTGTAGTTATTGCTGGAATGGTGCTTGAAAATCCTACATGTTGGCTCCCATTCCACAGCCAGCTAGCCACATGCATTTGTTGCTATATTGCTACATTCAACCATCAGGATGGTTTTGTGATTAGGCTGTTATCCCCATTGCCCATTGTCCCTCTGGGTAGCAGCAGGAGAAAAGTAAAAGAAAAACTGCTGCTGGCCTCTGTGCCAGTACATTACTTCTGGGTACAAACTGGAAGTGACAGTGGGTAGTTCTAGGAGTCACTGGATACTCTATTGTTGCACCCGGAATTGAAACAGGGTGTGTTCAGACGGGCAGCTAATCCCGCCATTATGCCAGCTCAAATTTGATCTTGATCTTTTTAATCCATCCTCGCACAACCAGACATTCCCCTGGGGGAATCGTCTTATCGCATGCTGCTTCCGCTGTGGATTGTCTAGACGGCGTCCACTGAAGGACTTTTTGCACATGTGCATAGGCGTGATCGCATGTCCTTGTGGATCCGCACATGCGCGGAATCAAACGTTCAAAGCACCGTATGAGGGATGCGTAGCCGTAATTCCAACCAACAGGACAGCCCAAGGACAACCAAATTCTTTTGTTTTCTGTTCTGACCCACACTTGCAGGGCTGGACTAAACAAGTCCCGGCCATCCCCCTTGCCATGAGGTCATGCTCACTGGAGGGACTATTTTGCATGTCGAAAGAGACATCCTCCCTCCAGCTCCCATCCCATTAACCAATCGTCCTTAAACTCACGGGTCATTCATATACATTGAAGTGTTCATGGCGCTGGATCGGGGTTCCGCGGCCTCATTTTTAAATGCATTTAAGTGCATATTGGGTAGTGATTTTTTACAAATCACGCCCGCTCAGGATGGTCTGACATCAGACCACCCCGACGGGGGGGATTGCGCGCTGGTGGAACGATCAGACAGGTGAAAGTCCGCGGTTGTCCCGTCGGGACCTGAAAACTCCAGATTTACAGTGGTATCTTTTTTTTTTTACATCTTTTATTTTAGGTTTTTTACATCGTATAATACAAAATACATAAGTTTTACAGTGGTATCTTTTAAGTATGGCTCCGAAGCATGGCAAAACGGGATGCCCATGGAACAGGGACGATTCCCAGATGTTTGTGTCTGGACATTACCTTTAAATCCACCAGGCATGAGTGCCTGGCGCGGATCTAAAGAGCCATCTGAACGGACCCACAGTGACATTGCTGATGTCACTCTACCCATTATATCTCTGCCTCCCAACCCTCCCATTGGTTGTCAGGCTCTGCCTGGTTTTGTTGTAAGATGCTCTGAGCCCTTCTTGTAGGGAAGGGCGGCCCAGCAAATCCAATTAAATAAACAAATAAAAATAATAAACTCTGTAATGGTGCGCTGAAACCTATGAATGTCCATGACTAACTGACCAAAGACTGGTTGCAATTAGTGTCTTGATATCCAGCAGGAGTTTTTATTTAAGGTTCTGGCACCCACTCTCATATCAAGAACAGAAATGCATATCTGCTTTCTCCCCCTCCCCTCCCCAGGAAATGAATATTCTCCGAAGCCAAATGGGTGGAGAAATCACTGTGGAAATGGATGCTGCTCCTGGAGTGGACCTGACCAAGATCCTGTCGGAGATGCGCGAGCAGTATGAGGCCTTGGCGGACAAGAACCGTAAAGATGCCGAGCAGTGGTTCTTCACCAAGGTGTGCCATTTCGGGGGATGACTGGAAGTTCGGGAGGGGGGGATGCTTGGTGCCCTGAGCCGTAGGTAAATCAGTGTAATGTCTCCTGCAGACTGAAGAGCTGAACCGTGAGGTTGCCACCAACACTGAACAGCTGCAGAGCAGCAAGACGGAGATCACAGAACTGAGGCGCACTGTCCAAGGCCTGGAAATCGATCTCCAAGCTCAACTCAGCATGGTATGGAGTTCTTACTGGGGGTGGTGCAAAACCAGGTTCTGTCTCACAGACAACTTCTTCATGTCCTTGATTTGTTGTGTATTTCCAGCCACTGAGTACCAAGCAGTGTTTTTGCCCTCTGATAGTAACTTTAGTGTGCATTGATCTAGACCCTCTTCTCCAAAGCAAATAGCCTGATTTCCCTCCACTTCACTAGAGCAGGAGAGCCCAGGAGGCATCACCCTGGTGTCCACGGGCAGCATCCGTTCTTAAGCAGCTGCCTCCATCATAAGAGGATGCTAGGGTTGCCAGGTCTGAGTTGGGAAATCCCTGGAGTTTCTTTTGGGCAGGAGCCTGGAGATGGCAGGATTTGCGGAGGGGAAGGACCTCAGCAGGGTGTAATGCTCTAGAGTCCACCCTTCAAAGAAGCCATTTTCTCCAGGGGAACTCACCTTGGTTGTCTGGAGATAAATTGTAACAATGGGAAATCTCCAGGTGCCACCTGGAGGTTGGCAGCCCTAGAGGATGCTGGCCTTGCAGTGGGATGTGGTTGACCCAGTACCCCACGGCCACCATTTTGTGGCGGTGCCTGCTCCCCATTCTCAAAATTCCAAAAGTGCCCCACAGGCCTAACAAGATTGGGGACCCGCAGTTAATAGGCTCTTTGTGGCTCCCATGGATTTGAGAGAATTAAAATGTGCATGTGTTGGAAAGTGAGAGTAAAAGAGAGAGACAGAGACAAAGAGAGAACATGGAGGAAAGGTAAAGGTGGAATAAGTATTAAAATACTGTACATTGCCTTGAGCCTACAGGATAGGATGAGCTATAGATTCAGATGAATGAAGATGGTTTCCACATGTGGTTTTCTTAATTGCCAGTACAGATCTGTGTTAAAAATCTGTATTTAAGTCCAACCCCCTGCATAATGCAGGAAATTCACAAATACCTCCCCCTCCACACCCCCAGTGACCCCTGTTTCATGCCCAGAAGATGACAAAAAATTTCCAGGATCCCTGGCCAAACTGGCCAGGAGAAAAATTGCTTCCTGACCCCAAAGTGGTGATCAGCATTCCCCTGGGCATGCAAGAAAGGGCCACGAGAACTAAGCACTGATACAACCCTTCCTGCTCTCCCTCTCATGATCTGCCTAAGTTCACAGAATTCGCATTGCTGTCAGATGGCCATCCAGGCTCTGTTTGAAATCCTCCAAAGGAGAGCCCACCACCTCCTGAGGAAGCCTGTTCCACTGCAGAACTGCTCTGTCAGGAATTTCTATTGTGCACTGCTATCATTGCACTACAGCAATCATTTGCAGCTGGATTCTCCTGGGTGGACCAAATAATCCAGTTCCCAATGATTGCTGTAGTGCAATATTAGTGCCATTTCCAGCTATGTCTGGATGCAGCCCAGCTGCATAGAAAACATGGAGTTGGGTGTGGCATGAAATGTTCACCCGTGATATTACGTTGGTGATACCCATGCAAGTCATCACAGGAAATTGCAGTTATCAAATTATGACTGTGGAAGTGTGAAGCAGCCCTCTGTTTGACAGCTCAATTTGTCTAAGGATTCCCATGAGTTATCCTTCCCTGATACTCCTGATATCTACACAAGGTGAAAAATGAGAGAAGTTTGGTTTCCCTCACTACAGTAAGTCTGACTCCTCACTGCACCTCGGTTCTCTTTCCCCAGAAAGCGGCCCTGGAAGGCACCCTGGCCGAGACAGAAGCCCGCTACGGCACCCAGCTTGCCCAGATCCAAGTGCTGATCACCAGCGTGGAGGAGCAGCTGGCGGAGCTGCGGTGTGACATGGAGCGCCAGAACCACGAGTACAAGATCCTCCTGGACGTCAAGACCCGCCTGGAGCAGGAGATCACCACCTACCGACGCCTGCTGGAGGGAGAGGATGCCCAGTGAGTAAAGGGGAGGTGGCTTTGCAGAAGTTTTCTCCTGCGATCCCATAAGGCCAAGAGCAGAGCAGCGGCCGGAAGCAGAATGACAAACCTCCCCACTTCTTTTCAAGTGGACGCGAAACCATCTCACTTTGCTATTTTGGTGCAGTGGTTAGGAGTGCAGACTCTAATCTGGGAGAATAGGGTTTGATTCCCCACTCCTCCAGATGCAGCTGCTGGTGTGACCTTGGGTCAGTCGTAAGTTCTTTCAGAGCTGCTCTCTCAAGGGCAGTTCTTGAGAGAGCTCTCTCAGCCCCACCTCCCACACAGGGTGTCTGTTATAGGGAGGGGAAGGGAAAGGAGATTGTAAGCCGCTCCGAGACTCCTTTGGATAGTGAACAGTGGGATATAAATCCAATCTCTTCTTCTTCTTAAACTGGGTAGGATGAAAAAATCCCAGGCTAAAACTGAATCTAGAAGCATAGAATCACAGAGCTGGAAGGGGCCATACAGGCCATCTAGTCCAACCCCCTGCTCAATGCTTAATTTGAAATAAAACTCTCTTGTTCCCTTTTTTTAATACCCTAATTTGAGTATGGGAACAAGGTGTTCTTCAGGCCTTAACGCTGACGGAGACTGCTGTCGGTAAGGAAATAAAGCCAAAAATAAAAGGCAATGGGAATTTTGCATATGAGAGAAAGATAGACATAAGCACAAAAAGCTGAACAATTGAGACAGAGCTTCTCACAAAGAAAGCTATGCATGGCCCCGGTCACACAAGCGAGATAATCCGGGAGGGAAGCGAGGCTTTTTGCTCTGGAGCAAAATGAAGCGCGGGATCGCGAACGGGCGTTCCCCCGCGTGCTCAGGATGTCAGCCGCCAATCACCCATTCATGGTGATGCAAGGCAAAAAAGGGAGAGGCAATTCAGCAGTAACGTGTTTGTGCGCATGTGCAGTTCCGCATTTGCGCACATACCACGGAGGTGTTTAAAAACATCTGGTGGGATGCAGACGGGCGCTGGATGCGACAGGATACCAGCGCTTCCATGATCAGACGCCCGCCTGCACTATGCATTTTCTGGAAAATAGTCCACTTTCCCTGGTATCTTTTTACTCCACATCTTCAGCGATATGGGTTGCCAACGGGTGCAGGACACTTGCCAGATGTTTTCGTGTGATCGCACCCTTAAAATACGCCCGGCATTCATCCCTATTGCACGGCTAATTCTGCGTGTGACCAGGACCCATATAAATCAATTAAAAAGGAATATTGAAATAATGTCAAGCAGAGGTCATTTCGGGGGGGATCGCGGGGGATCGCAGTTCCCCCGGGTGAGGTATGGGGGCGGGGCACATGCCGAAGCCCCGCCCCCTGCTTCCGGCCGCTCCGCTTCCAGCCCTCATTCAGCCAGGAGGAGGCAGGAGAAGAGGGACGGTAAGTTGCTTCCTCCCTGCCTCTCCCCACCCCTGCCTGCCTGGGGCCAGGGAGGGCATTCGCGGGGCTTCCTTGCACTCCTGCCGGCCTTGCAGGTCCACCACCAGGCCCCTCATGGGGCTCGGCAGTGGAGCTGCAAGGCCGGCGGCGGCAGCTGGGACCGTTGGGGGCGGTGTGTGTGGCCTTATGGCACACTTCCGGTGATGTCAGGGGAGTGTGGCATATGCTAATGAGTTATGCTAATGAGTTCCCCTAGCTCTTTTTCTACGAAACGACCCCTGATGTCAAGTAACAGTACAATCTGAAATAGTTAATGGACTGAGAAAAGTATAACTGTTTAGGAGGATTGCACTGGAAATCACAGAAGACACAATACTAAGCATATAACAAGGGGGGAAACACCTTTGAAGCACTCCACAATTCCAATGAAGTAGCAACAGACCCAAAATAATTCACTGGATCATTTATGATAGATCAGTTTTCATTATTTCCATTGACTGTGTATATCAAGAAGAATGTAAGGGTCTGATATAAATCCAATGGGCGGGGGATCCAAACAGCCCCGTTGCCAGAGCAACGCGTAGCGTCACATCCTGGCGACGGCGGTGCAACGTGTATCGCTGTCCCCCGCGGCAGGGATCCTGTGAAGACGTGCGGATCCCCCACCGCGGCTTGGCAGCCCTTAAAATTTATTTAATTTGATGGGCTTAGAAGGGCGTAACTCTGTTTAGGATGGTTCTGTTAGAATATTTCTATTATAGAACAATTGACTTTCTGCCCTGCATTGTAGAAAAACCGAGTTTCTAATTTGATTTTACTTTCCCCCCCTTTATAGCATCAGTTCCCAGTACAATGCTGCTGTCTCACAATCTGGGAGAGATGGTAAGAATTCACCGCGTGACTACTCATGGTGCCATCCTTAAAACACTTTCCGTCTGGGAGTAAGCCCCATTGAATAACATGGGATTTCCTTCTAAGTAGACCTGTTTAAGATTGCTCTCTAAATTGTTTACCTTTAGTGTAATGTTAGGAAATGTTGCTAACTGAATGGGGAAGATGCGCAAGTAAAACAACACACACCACTCCACCACAAGTGTCACCATTTTGAGAAAGAACATCCATAAGTTGTTCAGCAAAACATTAATGATGTCCGTCTGTTCTCCCGTCCTCCCCGGTTTCCTATTTTGTTCCTTTTAAGAACTCAAAGGTGATGACGGGGCTAATTTAGACTGACTGACTGATTGATTGACTGACTGACTGGCACTGTCATGAGGCAGCCTGTCACTTGCTTCAAGTGGCAGATTTTGGGGTGTGCAACTTCCCATCCCACACACCCCCGACAATGTGCTGGCCGGCTGCCCACCTCCACCCTCCGGCTGCTCCTGCCTGTGAGCCAGAGAAGATCATTCTTCTTACCTCTTTGCTCTTTAAAAGCCAGGGTTGCCAGGTCTGGGGTGTGAAATACCTGGAGATTTGGGGGTTTGGAGCCTGAGGAAGGTGGGGTTTGGGGAGGGGAGGCAGGGTATATAATGCCTTAGAACCCACCCTGCAAAGTAGTCATTTTCTCCAGGGGAATTGATTTTGGTTGCTTGGAGATCAACTGTAAACAAAGGGAGATCTCCAGGTGCCACCTGGAGTTTGGCAACCCTGTTAAAAGCACCCATGTGACATGCCAGTTCCTGAGCTCTCTCCAGATCCCTTCTTCCTTCCTGTGAGAGTTCAGCCACCATCTCTCACGTTCTCTTGCGAGGGCAACCAAATATGGTGGGCTGATGTAGCCAATCCTCCAAGAGCTTACAGAGCTCTTCTTACAGGGGCTACTGTAAGCTCTTGGAGGATTGGCCACATTAGGGGTGTGTCGCCTAAGATGCAAAGGAGTTCCTGCAAAAAAGAGCCCTGGCTGAGATGAAGTAATCTTGCAACAGTTCAGGAAGCCCTACAGATAGGGTTGCCAGCAGTGTTCCCTCTAAGCTGAGTTAGTGTGAGCTAGCTGACAATTTTTTAGCCTCCAGCTCACAGATTTTGTCTTAGCTCAGGAAGGATGGCTCAAGAGCAAAGTAATTTATGCAGTAGCCAAATCGCTCGCTCACAGCTTTCATGCCAGTAGCTCACAAAGTAGAATTTTTGCTCACAAGACTCCACAGCTTAGAGGGAACATTGGTTGCCAGCTCTGGGTTGGGAAATACCTGGAAATTTTGGGGGTGGAGTCTGGGGGGCTGGGGTTTGGGGAGGGACCCAGGATACAATGCCGGAGAGTCCACTCTCCAAAGCAGCCATTTTCTCCAGGGGAACTGATCTTGGTCATATGGAGATCAGTTGTAATAGTGGGAGATCTCCAGGTGCCACCTGGAGGTTGGCAACTCTACCGATAGAGCATGCCCAACTTCCCCTACTGTTTCTAAAAAGAGGTGAGGTTATTTGAAGAGGTAAGGAGACTGATCTCCTCTGCATCCTGGGCAGCAGCAGTGAGGCAGGTTGGAAGCACCCCAACATCTGCTGTTGAACCTAATGGCATCCGCGTTCCTTCTTCAATTACATATCAAGAATTGCCCCCATAATTGGACAACTCCTCCGTTCTTCTTCTGATCTGGAAGAAAAAAGTTGTGATTTTGCTGGCATAATCCCCTGTTCTTTGATCCTCCAGACCTTGATTGGCTCCCATTTCAGCCCCCCAACTGGCTGGGGTCCCTCTCTGGGACACGTAGCTCCTTAGCCTGAGATTTCTGTCTGTAAGCTCTTTAAGCAAGTCTTGAGATTTTGGAGAACAATGGCTCCCCCCCTCTTTCATTCACAGTGACAAAGACCACACGCCAAGTCCGCATGATAGTCGAAGAGGTTGAAGACGGGAAGGTGGTCTCTTCTCGAGAGCAGGTCAAACAGTCCAGCTACTAGAAGAAACGGCTCTATACAGCACTGTAGATCACAACCGAGAGCAGCAATCACAGCGACATCTCCAGGCATTCCGTAGCAAGCAGTCCACAGGCGTATGCATGAAACCTTCATAGAAGCACAGAGCCACCTGGTTCCATTGGCTTTCTCAGTGTCCTGCCTCATCCTTCATGCCTGTCACATAACCACCCTGCCTGTTAGTAACTAATAAAGGCTTGTTTTCCCCAGTCATACAAACGACAGCTGCTTTCGTGCTGATAAAAGGGGGTTTGTAGACTTGACTGCCACAAACACAAGAAAGGGTAAAGAAATGGATTCCTGAAGGGAAGCGGCCTGTCCAACTGGTAGATTCCAAAAATGAGAGATCACGGGAGGAAGTGGAATACCAAAAACAACATCCGTGACAAAAATAATGAAGAGTCAATAAAGATAAGTTGCAAAAACGTTTACTGTAGTAATTCTGTAGAAAATTTTCTTCTATAATCGCAATGCTCCGCAATGAAAACAATTTGTTTCACAATATTTGCTTTATCTGAGCATGTAGGAATCCCAATTCTTATCAATTACTTATGAACTCTTGAAGGAAACATTCCATGTTGACTCTAATAACAGAACCCAAGGTCTTCACAATGTATTAGCTGGATTCTTTGAGAATGTTTCCTTCAAGAGTTCATAAGTAATTGATAAGAACTGGGATTGCTACACACTCAGATAAAGCAAATATTGTGAAACAAATTGTTTTCATTGCGGAGCATTGCGATTATAGAAGAAGATTTTCTACAGAATTGCTACAGTAAATGTTTTTGCAACTTATCGTTATTGACTCTTCATTATTTTTGTCACGGATGTTGTTTTTAGTATTCAGCTGGTAGCACTTTTATGGCCATGTGTAATTCTACCTGACAGAAACGACACCTATGTGGGGAGCCCATTCCCTCTCTTCCTCTACCCCCACCCCTGCCATTGCCATGTGGTAATAAGCCATGTTTAATGCCTGGGAATAGAAATATTAGGCCTCAAGTTTGTGCGGACACACCACCTTGTTATTTGGAAATCTTCCCTAATAATCCTTACACTTTTCTGATGCTGCTTGGCTGCATGACTGTACCAGCTTCCCCTCCCCTTCATGTACAGTATTTTCTGTCAGTCATTCTAAGGTTGCCAGGCCTCCTGCAATTCCAAGGCAGCTGCTTGGAACAGTGTCAGGAGAATTTTTATTTTTAAAGATGCCCGTGAACTCTGCACTGGTATATCACTTCTGGGTTATAGTTGGAAGTGTATGGTTTTTATCATAGACCAGGGTTTCAAATGTGGTGCCTTTCCCAGTGCCTCCCAAGTGTTTTTAGAAAGTGGGTGGGGCCAGGTGGAGCTCCTGCCCATTAGAAGAAGAGGAAGAAGAGTTGGGTTTATACCCTGCCCTTCAATTGGAGTCTCAGAGCAGCTTACAACCTTCCCAATAGCAGCGACTGTGCTGATTTTAGTTATGGTGTGAGTTTGCGAGTGGTCAGGAAGGGAATTTTTAATGACTGAGCTGGATTATGTGCTGCTATTATAAAGGAAAGCCTGAGGAGGCGGAATAGGAATCTGAGCTAATTTCCTACTTCTCCCCCCTCCCCCATTGATCCACATTGACACACCTTCCTTTCACAACACACAAAAAGATGTGTTAATTGTCTCTTCTTTAGATGGGTCCAATACTTAGGGGTTTGGTGGATTAAGACAAGGAAGGTTATAAGTTATTGGCTGCATACAGCAAGGGACAGCATAGCTCTGAGTTAAAAAGTTACAGTTTCACACATGCACATTGTTACTGACAGGCTATTTCTGCCAAAGGGAAGGAACAAATGATTTCTTTTGGAACCTCTTCTTAAACCCAAGAATCTCAGCCTATTGAATCTCAGCTTGTCCTTTGGGATACTTTCCTCAGTCCCGCACAAGTCCCTAGCCTACTGTTTTGCTAAGGTAACACAAGATACCTGCTCTATTCCTCCCTGAGCCCTATGTATCTATCCTACAGATATCTGACTTCTTGTCCTTCACCGAGCGATGCCTAACTACCTATCTATTTTCCTCGTAGTTTTCTCTGTTGCTTCCCCAGGCAGACTGAGGCAACAACAGACTTTCGCTCCATTTCTGAGGCATTTCTGAGGCAATGACAGATTTTCCGTCCATTTTACTCTCCTCTCCCCTCCCAGAAGCTCCACAGCATCTTATTGGCTAGGAATTTGCTGGTATGCCTAGAGGGCAGACAGGGTCGACACATCCATAGACGCAGGTTAGGCAGTTGCCTAGAGCACAACCTTAGGAAGAGTGCCACACTGGCCTACCACCTTGCCCCACCCCTCCCTTGCCAAAAGCCCTGCTCAACTCACCGCCAGGGGATGTGTCCTGGCTGCAGGGCCCTAGGCGCGTGCGGGGGGGGGGCACCAGAAGGTAGCCTCGCCTAGTGTGCAAAAAAACCTGGCACTGGCCCTGAGGGCAGAACTAGAGGCTGTCTGTCATGGGGTATCTTGCAATAATTATAGTAATAATTTCAACACAAGTCATAAAGCAAATAAGAGGGTTCTAGATCAGCTCAAGCCTGAACACTTCCTAAAAGTTCAAGTGATTAAAACTGAGTCTATTTGGTCACATTATGAGGAGATGAGAGTCGCTGGAAAAGTCCACAATGCTAGGAAACATTGAAGGCAGCAGGAAAAGATGTGAGATGGATTGACTCAATCAGGAAAGTCGTGGCTCTCAATTTGCAAGATGTGAGCAAGTTTTGGGTCACCATAAGTGCTTAGTGCACAGGCCCGGATTGGGTGTGCTGCCTGATTCTTGCTAGTGACTTCATTTTGTGTCAGAACTTGAACCAGGATTGTGGCCTCTGATCATACCATGGTTATACTTTAACATTACTGTACAGAATGGGCTGAAGAGAAAATGGAAGGGGAAACGGTTTTGTCAGCACGGAGCTCTGATTGGCTGGATGGGCACTCCCTTGCTTCTATTCCCTTTAACAAATCCCAGCTATCCTTTGCCTTGGGTTTGCCTCTCCTCCTTTCAGCTCACCTGAATTCCTTAGAATGCTTTAGCATCAAAATCCCAAGTTCCATAAGCAACATTTGTTAAATTAAACCCTCTGCCTACATGCCGTGGGCTTTGGAACGATCCTGCAGATCAAACTTACTGAGCAAATTAAGAGACCTTTGATGCACAGAGATGCTGATGTGTGTGATGATGTAGCAGAAGCAGGGAGAAAGTGCAAAGCAAATGAAAACATGAGCCAATCAACATCCAGTGGTTAACTAGAGTTTGCAGCAAGCCATGCTTTGAAGAGCCAAGCACCACAAAGGAAGCTTTATTAATCATCAGCATTGGGGTGATTACTTTGCTGCAGGTGAAACAGTGTCTTCAGTATGAAAAACAAACAGGTTTGCCCAGATATCAAAGGAAGGAACAAAAAGGAAGGGAAAACACTTTCCCATTGGAATACATGCTATTGAGGAGAACAAGTAAATGTGTGATGGCCGCGCATCTGTCCCTTTACAACTCAGTAAGTTACAGGTGGCCCTGCACCAAAAAGGCTCTAACTTTGCTTCAGCCATAGCACATTCAACACGGAGAATGAAATGACTGAAAAATTCCCACCACGCAGGATGTTTAAATTATTTGAATGCTACTTAGTGCCCCCTTTCCCCACCAAAAGTTGCTTCTGGGCAACATCTTTCTTCTACTTCGTTGCTTTTACTGTCCTCATCCCTACTTGCCCACTCTGAATATTTCTTCTTCTTCTTCTTCTTCTTCTTCTTCTTCTTCTTCTTCTTCTTCTTCTTCTTCTTCTTCTTCCTCTTCTTCCTCTTCTTCCTCTTCTTCCTCTTCTTCCTCTTCTTCCTCTTCTTCCTCTTCTTCCTCTTCTTCCTCTTCTTCCTCTTCTTCCTCTTCTTCCTCTTCTTCCTCTTCTTCCTCTTCTTCCTCTTCTTCCTCTTCTTCCTCTTCTTCCTCTTCTTCCTCTTCCTCTTCCTCCTCCTCTTCCTCCTCCTCCTCCTCCTCCCCCCCCTAATTTTCAACCTGGACAAATCTGAGGATATCTAAATCTGGAGATTGGAGCTGTGAACGGACAAGACAGATTTCTACAAACCTGGAAAGTGCCCCTGTTTTCAGAAAAGTCTGAAATCTAAAAACAAAAGCAAACAAAAAAAATGTTAACCCAAAATGATAAAAGGAGCACCTGTAGCTTTAAGAAACAGATGCCCTTCATTGGCAGTTGCTAGACAACCATAACAGTTTGGCCATTCTAGACTTGGTTTCTGTCAGAAAAAGGCAGAGGGAGGGGCAAGGCTTCCAGGGCTGTTTCAGCCTTTGAGGAAGGACTCATTGGGTCTAGGCAGAAACCACCAGCGATTTGATATGGGTTCCATGACTCAACCAGGCACAGCTTCTCACTAATGTTCAACAGCAGCTACCCTTCAAAAGCCAGTGTGATATAGTGGCTAAAATTTGAGACTAGGATCTGGAAGACCCAGGCTGAATCCGCATTCTGTTGTGGAAGCTCACTGGGTGACATTTAGTCAGTCATACACACTCAGCCTAACCTACCTCACAGTGTGGTTGTGAGGATAAACTGGAGAAGACTGGTGTAATCTGCTTTGGACCCCATTATGAAGAAAGCTGGCATATAAATGAAGTAAATAAACCATAAATACAGCTGAAGATGGGAGGGGGGCAGATAACAGGTAGGTTAGTTGGTGGGTGGGAAGCAAAGAAGGAAGCTAGGGTTGCCAGCCTCCAGGTGGGGCCTGAAGATCTCCCGCTTTTACAACTGATGTCCTGCTGACAGAGATCAGCTCCCCTGGAGAAAATGGCTGCTTTGAAGTGTGGACTCTCAGGCACTGTACCCTGCTGAGGCCCCTCCCCTCCCCAAACCCCGCCCTCTCTTGGCTCCACCCCCAAAATCTCCAGGTATTTTCCAACCCAGAACTGGCAATCCTAAAGGTAGCAGAGAAGGGTGGCACATTGCGGAGGGCTGATTTGTATACATATATGTACATATGAAGCTGCCCTATCCTGAATGAGACCCTTGGTCCCTCAAGGTCAGTATTGACTACTCGGACTGGCAGTGGCTCTCCAGGGTCTCACATCACTTACTAACCTTTCACATCACTTACTACCAGGTGCTTTTTAATGGAGATGTCAGGTATTGAACCAGGGAGGGACCTTCTGGATGCCGAGCAAACACTCTACCAC